AGCCCCGATCACAATCCCTCCACCTCAGGGGGCTGAACACTGCGCTGGATTGTGTCTCCGGTTTCCGCGCTATAAGATTACGCCGGTGATGATAACAGCCGTTCTGATAGCTGGCTTTATATATATTGGCATGTATTGCATCCTCCGAGCCGTAGTTTAAGCAACGAACACTGGCCCGAAGGGGATCCCTAGAGATGCGCACCCAAAGGCAACGTTGTTTTATAGTAAGTTGAGCGGGGCCTCTGGATACGTGATCGTGCGCTAGTACCATCGCCAGAGCGTGGGACCAATCCTACACAATAGATAGGGCTAGCATTGAAATTTACCTTGACCCGTGAGAAGGCCGCCTGTTTGAGAGAATACCGAGGATCATAACAAAGGTAGCTCCGCACGCCAGGATGAGGAGTTGATGCGACAAGCCAAGCATGGGGCGGGGTAACTTCAGTGCTACAGGGTGGAAGGCAGGGTGATATCGTCCTCCCAGAAAATGGTTTTTTAAATTTCAAATTCCACATCGCGCCCGCCGGACGAAGGTGGTCATGAGATGCTTGAATATCTACGAACTGAACCAGCAGACATGGATCGTCGGAAGCGGGCGTCGGGAACAAACACATCCAAAGTAGCACACGCCTACTATAAATCTCGCCCCCAACTTTCATAGTAGAATCAACCATCTCTTTCCCAACCGCCATCTCCTCTATGAAACCAAAGGGGTTAGTCACCGTTGCTCGTCTTATAGTTCGTATCCGGCCCACCTCTGTTGCAAGGTGTTAGCGAGCTCGCTTCCTGCCCGCCAACAACCTCGTCATTGCTGCCACATGTCTTCAACAATAAATATCCATCCCGCCGTTGGGGATTATCGCCTGGGAGCCATTTGGGACTAGGCGAGTCGCTCAATTATCGTTATTCGCCATTGGGTCATTAAGCCATCACTCCCAGTCAGCCATCCTGCTCAAATTCCCACTAGGGGATAAAGCCAACGTGAGTGCATTTCCTTGAGTACCAGCCACACCAATCTGGAGGGAGATGGGAGCCGCGTGGGTCGCGCTGCGGCCCCCACCCTCGGAACACCGCGCGCGTCAAGGCGTGGTGTGAGGAAGAGGGAAGAGAGCCAATGTGATATGTTCTCGTCTTCGTCGGGGCCGACCATCTTGATCCAGATCCATGACAAGGTGCTCCCTCGAACAGACCCCCACCTATATAGGACAAGGGGTGTGCATCCCACTTTACTGTGCCGCACACTGCCAATCCTCGGGGGCTGTAGCAGGGGTCCGGTGGCTGTCTCGGGAGATGGGCGGTGGTGTGGTTGGAGGAGATGTGCTCGCTCAGCGAGTTTGTTCGCTATCATTTGAGCGGCTCGCTGAGTGGTGTATTTGTTTTTTTAGGTTCTCCAGAGCTGCCGTGCATGTACCCTACGATTTCGTCTGGGGGGTGTGGAGTATGAGGAGCTTCGCGGGGAGAGGTATTGATAATTTGAATCCAAGATGTTGTGATGTATCTTTGAGCTGGATTGAATTGGAAGAACACATGGGCGACGGCGGGGGTGCCAAGAAAGAAATGAATGATTCGGGTATGAAGAGCCATCGTGGCGTTATCCAGGGTTCATTTGGGTTCCGCACAGCCTGCAGCACCCATCGCTGGGCGCCCTTCAGTTTCGGGTCGCCTCTGCCTTCTGCTTCCCCGCGGCCTGCTCTGTTTCCTATGCTTCAAATCTGCTGAACCCATCGTCTCAGCACCCAACTTGCGTTTTTTACTCGTTTTCGAGCGCTGCTGTCGTTGCAATGCTGCGTTTTTCAGCGTGGACAGTTCGAGATAGATTCGCAAGTGTTGATGTAGTCGCCGAGCGTGTGCTACGCAGGTTGTGTAGATGTAGTGCGAGTGAGGGAGTAGAATAGTTCCGGCTGTCATAAAATAAAGTGAGGACCCTGAGCGCCACTGTGTTTCCAATTACACCGCTGTTAGTGCACACCGTTTCACCTGCCCCTCGACGCATGCTAGCATCATGGCGTCTACAAACTACGAACCCATCCCAACAGACGAGAACCCCCCGCCTGCAAAACCCAAATCCTCCCCGCAGCGCACATCGCCGGCCAAGCTGTTGCTCTTTGCGTTGGTATTCGGGCTGACTGCGCTCGCGTCATACAAGGCCGGGCAGTGGTCCGTAACTAGACATCAAGTGGGAGTCACGCCGCCCGGGGAGACTACCAAGCCCGACTCGGACACTGCCCCTTCTGCTACTACATCTACCGTCCCACCACCTGCAACATCCACCCCTGCGACAATGCCTGAGAAGGGAAAATACAGTGTTGGATAGTGAGTGGCTGCCGTGTCTCCAAGTGTAGTTCTAACCTTACCACTCTAGCTTTGTGAATTGGTATGTCTTTTGTATTACTGCGTTGATAATCCCAACGGCAATGTAGGGGCATCTATGGACGCAAATTCCCACCATCCCTGATCCCAGCCCAAGACCTCACGTCAGTCGCCCCCCGTTAATCTAGTCCAGGCATTACTAACCCTCCTTAGCCACATCCTATATGCATTCGCCAATCTGCGCGCCGACTCGGGCGAGGTCTTCCTCTCGACCCATGGGCCGACCAGGACATCCACTACCCGGGCGACTCCTGGAACGACGTCGGCACCAACCTCTACGGCAACTTCAAGGCATCTATAACCTCAAGAAGCAGCACCGCCACCTCAAGGTCCTCCTCAGCATCGGCGGCTGGACCTACTCCCCACAGTTCCATCCTGTCGTCGTCTCCCCCGCCCACCGCGCCCGCTTCGTGCAGTCCGCCATCACGCTGCTCGAGGACTAGGCCTCGACGGGCTCGATGTTGATTATGAGTACCCCGAGAACGATGCCCACGCGCAAGGGTACGTCGAGCTGCTCCGCGAGCTCCGGCACGGCCTCGATGAGCATGCACGCCAGAAGGGTGCCGACTACAAGTTTTTGCTGACGGTATGTGATGGGCCCCGTCTGCACCAGCTCCGCTCACCCGCCCTAGATCGCAGCGCCGTGTGGCCCGGACAAATACAAGAAGCTGCACATCCGTGCGATGGACCAGTACCTCGACTTTTGGAACATGATGGCCTACGACTTTTGTGCGCCCTTTCCCTCTCCTCCCTCCCCATCACTGACACTCCGCAGCGGGGTCCTGGGACCAGATCGCGAACCACCAGGCAAATGTGTTCGGCGGCCCCATCAACGCCGCCGAGGCGATCCACTGGTACATCGCCCAGGGCGTTGCACGCCCCAAGATCGTCATGGGTATCCCCTCTACGGGCGGTCTTCACCCAGACGCAGGGCCCAGGCACGCCGTTCTCCGGGATCGGACCGGGCAGCTGGGAGCGCGGCGTGTACGACTACCGCGCGCTGCCGCTCCCGGGCTCACATGTGCACGTCGACGACAAGGCGCTCGCGAGCTGGGGGTACGACTATGCGACGCGGGAGATGGTGAGCTACGATAACCCGGATGTGGGCACGTGGAAGGGCGCGTGGATACAGCGCGAGGGCCTTGGTGGGAGCATGTTTTGGGAGCTCAGTGGGGACAAGCAGGGGCAGAGGGAGGGCGCGGAGGGCGGACCGGGGAAGGAGGCGCAGCCGGGCCCGAGTCTGGTGACAGTGGTCAAAAATGCGATGGGTGCGCTCGATACGTCGCCGAATTGGCTCAGGTATGAGAAGAGCAAGTTTGATAATATGCGCAAGGGGATGGAGTAGTGTAGTTATCCGAGGACATGTATATACACAAAGGAGCAAGTTTACGGACGAGTGTAACGTATATTGTTTATTATCCAGTCCATTTATATACACACATAGTACAAGGTCGAAAAACAGAATTTACATCCCTACCCATGGATGCGTTGGTACCCATGCGACCCCGCGCCCACTCGTGGCCGTAATCCGCAGATATCCCCGCAATGACCACCGCACCTGCGACGAGGATGTCGAGGATCCACGACACGGTAATCATGACGTATCCGATGCCTATAGCGAGCAAGGATGAGATCGAATATACCCAGTGATCGATAAACTTACCAGGCCTGCCCTGCTCGAATCGCCGTTCCGTGCGATACACATCCGTGACCACTGCAAACCCAATCATCTGCAACACACCTACCCGCCCACGCATGCACCATGAGATTAACCATCTCACGGGCCCAGCACACACCATGCAAAAAGACGAACCCCGCCACGGCCTTCCATACCCTGCGTCTGCGCGAGTGCGTAGTGACGCCAAGGAGGATACTAAACAGCGCGAGCGCCGCACACCCCACCGCGACCATCTCTGCGTACCCCGCGGTCGACCAGCGCATGCAGAACGGCTTGCCTGCACCGTCACACGCCTCGTGCCCGCGGCTTGGGAAGGACGGCACGTGTACTCGGTGTACTCGAACTTCCCTGCGCCTCGACCCCTTCTACCTTGTGTGCATGTGCGAGGCGTGCGGCTCGGCGCTGGAGGGCAGGTTGACGCGGATGACCTTGAGCTCGCAGAGCTGGAGCAGCCCGTAGGAGAGGGTGATGCGCGTGCCGATGACCTCTGGGTAGCGTACCACGATCCTGCATCCTCACACCATTAGCACTGCATTGGATCGCTCGAGTGGATTGTGAGTACCATTCGGGGCGTAGGGTGGATACGATGTTCTGCGCCGATGATATCAGTGCATACTCTGCATCACGAGCAAAGGAAAGCCCCACCAATGTAAGCGTAACAGTAACAGCAAGAAAAGCGAGGAAATACGAAAGAAGCCTCATCGTGTAGAGACAAGAAAGAGACTTGCGATCGGCGTGTTGGCTTGTGGAGATATCAAAAACGTGCGCACGGTGAGGCTAAAAAATGTCCCAGGGAGGATTCGAACTTCCGGCTTCTCGGGTTGCAGCTGCTGTTGGATCCACAACGAGATGATTTGACCACTAATCGACAAGGACCTGTTCTTGGCTCCCACCCCCGTCCAATCGCCCAGCACAACTGTTACTCAGGTAGAGCAACCCATGACAAAAAAAGTGTCCCAGGGAGGATTCGAACTTCCGGCTTCTCGGTTGCTGCACCCGCTGGGCTGGTGCTCCACAACGAGATGATTTAACCACTAATCGACAAGGACGTTAACCCGTAACCGATATCTATGGATTTATCTACCCTCCCTTTGTCTATATGCAAGGGCGCATATTAATACCCCATTCAGCACATGTGAGCAGAATTACAAGATGCTGAAATCAGCCCTCCCCCATTCCCTCCAACGCGTGTGAGCGCGATTTCCACACCGGTCCGGCGGCTACACCAACATGATATATCATATGTATATCCACTGAGAATTCCGAGTCCGCGCTAGTATCCCACCGCGCCTCAGACTCGTACTCCACATACGCCCGAAATGACTACACCCGCAAGCTCACGACCGGACGAAGCGGCGCACGAGGAACTGTACAATGCCGGGCTCGTGTACCGGCGCCGGGTGATGGTGAGTGCCGTTGAAAGTGGTGGGCTTCACGTCTGAATGATGGAATTTAGGGAGACGCATATGTCGATAACCAGCTGCAGAAGGTGCGCCTCATCCCGAGCTTGCATCGGGATTAGCACTTACGATTCTGCGTGCTAGAATGTCTCCGAGTTCATGAAGCCTATGCAACAGGTGTGCTCGTTCCCCAGGCTCCGCCGTTGAATATTGCTTACCCCCACCAGCTCGCAACAGAGGTCCGCCCTTCAAACATTCGGTGCGTCTACTGACATGGGAACCATACAGGCTGCGTGGGGCACGATCTGGACGCGCCCCGGGCTCGAGCTCAAGCAGCGTAGCCTCATCAATATCGCGCTCCTCGCGAGCCAGGCAAAGGAAGCCGAGGTACTCCCTTTCCTCTTCACCACCGCCCGTCCCTCATAACTTGACCCTCACACCACAGCTCGGAGGTCACATCAGGTACGCCCCGCCCTGCCTCAGCATACAAGGGGATAATGCTAACGCTAAAGCGCTTACTGGCAGAGGCGCGGTGAACAATGGCGCGACGGAGATTGAGATCAGGGAGACTCTGTTGCAGACCGCGATGTACTACGGGATACCACCGGTATGGAGAGCTTCCGCATCGCCGACGCCGCGATCACAAAGCTCAAGGAGGAGGGGAAGCTGCCCAAGTAAACAATTTGGCAGGGGGTGCTGGAGGTGTAAATTGGTCTTGTCAATATCATGTTGTGTAAAACTTTTGCAACCAGCTCGCGACGCACTTTGACCACGCATTTGAGTATGGCTTTCAGCACCCATAAAAAAGTGTCCCAGGGAGGATTCGAACTTCCGGCTTCTCGGGTTGCTACACTCATCCCATGCGGGGCGAGTGCTCCACAACGAGATGATTTAACCACTAATCGACAAGGACCTATAACTCAAGTTCTGGCTGGGAGTATTGAGTTACACGGCTATCTTTTCCACCAAATGGGCAGGTTTTTCTTGCCTCCGGGCTCCCTACTCGACCACTGACCAGATCCTCCGACTACACAACCATCTTAAATGCCCACCTTGAACCCATCTCTTTGACCATTGCATGCCCTAGGCTTTCCGACGCACGTTGGCAGAGACACTGGTCAAAATAGCATAGAACCTTGCTTGCACCATCACATTTGTACCATGTCAAACGTACCAGTCATTGAGCGGAAGATCTGAGCACGGATTGAACGCCTCCCGGTACGGGCCTTTAGAGGCGATCATTCTACCTTGGACGACACTGCGGTCGAGTGATGTGATTACGCTCGAACGACAATCAGCCAAGCAGACGTCAAAGCGGTCTATCATCTCCCTTCACCAGCCGAGGTTTAGTACCAACCACCACTGCCGGCGAATTTCTTCCTCATTTCGGCGACATGCCCCCAACCTTCAACCGACACGACCGTACTTATAGCCTTCCGCCGAGGTAGTCTAAGCAGCTGGAATGAAGACCACTATTTTAGCAGCAGTAACAGCGGCTTTCTTTTTGTGCAGCGCCAATGCTCAACTTGCCCCGATTTGGGGACAATGCGGAGGCATTAGCTGGTGCGTATGAGGATTAGTATTTCCCTACTACGTTTTCTCAGATGAGTCTCAATTAGGGTTGGGCCAACAGCCTGCACACCTGGCAACACTTGCACGTACTTGAACCCATGTAAATCTTTCTAATACTTGATACACATATATGCACATCATATCCCTCTTTACAGACCGCTCCCAATGTCTTCCAACACCCATTTCCACTTCCACAACCACTGCCGACCCGCTCCCAACATCAGCCACGGCACCAGTGGAGTACTAGGGGACCGCGACTACTCCTAGGACGGCCAATTTCCTCGCCTCCGTATTGTCTCGTCCTGCTTTCTATGACGTATACCTACGGGGCCCGACGTCTCATCAGGCTTTTGCAATCGTGTATCTACCATATCTATGCTAAATACTCGGACTACATAAGTAACTACTCACTAAATTCTCATCAACCCGCCTTTTCGATGATTACGTGCCGCCTGGTCCGACGCGCACCTTGGTGAAGGTATTGACCAAGCCAACATAAAATCCCGCCCGCGCTGCTTTTTGGGGAGGTGAGAACAACCTGCACCATGCCAAATGCGCTGGGTGTTGAGCTGAAGGTCCGAGGCACAAATCACACGTGGCGCGGACCTTCAAAAGCAATCACCATCCCGGAGCAACCTTAGGAATCAGGGTTGTGTAGAGGCGGTGGTACTATCCCATTATTCCTAGTCGACCCAGCGCTGACAAACTATCCCCTGGGCCTGAATCCTATTCAACGCACCAGATCACAGGTGATCATGTGCGTGTAGTTTTCAACATTTCCATTGGTACATTCAACCCCCTCCCACCGGCGCCGATCTGGCAGTCTCTTACCCAGGGAAAAGCTATAGGAACGACCAGGGTCACTTTAGACTCGCTTCCATTCGACTGCTAGAAATCGTATGCTGCGGTAATGGTTCCACCTCCTGGGACCTTTCTCCGCTCTTAGGGCTATGATCTTGTCTTCATTCCACGACAATGGGGTGCGGGCGGAGATCAGGGGGTCTAGCATCAGTCGCTAGCCCAATAATGGAGTCAATTTCGACATTCAAACATTCAACAAGTATTCAGGGGCCACACATATAAGTTCGCTCGGATCGACATTCTTTCTGCGTACCCCCATGAAGTTTTCGAAACGCTCATTCTTGTTTGCGTGTCAGCCATTTCAGTCTCTGGTCTTTCATGCTCGTGCGGTAGGTTCGGTAGCTGTATTCAGGAAATGCAATCCCCTGATCAATTATACCCTACAAGGCTCGAAAACATACAGTAATATCGATATAAACAATGCAATGCGAAGGGAAATGACAAAATCCAACCCTAATTCATTTGGGTCGGTTTTATTCTCCTGCGTGTTCCCCAGCCAACACTGACAAGCTGGGACCGGGATTCAGTGGACGATACCCGCATAAGTTTGGCAATAGGGAGGGGTTGATCTTTCCTTGGTGTCAGCGAAATCCAATACTATCCTTGAATACCCGTTGAAATCTGGTGTTTCATACGTCTCTGGACCCCCGGGAGCAGATCGTATTGTCTACATTAACGGAACACAAACACCGTGTGGTAAGTAGCATATTCTGAGACGGAAGGCTAGACAGCTAAAGACGGGGTCTTATAGGTTGCATGACACACACGGGAGCGACTGGGAACAATTTTGTGATCTGCAAGAATAGTCGTTGAACATGATTGGCCGATAAATCATTCGGGTCCAGTGGAGGGATATATTGTATGATGGCACATGCATATGCGATTAGTTCAAGATGACACGGGGCTCTAAATCCTGCCCTGCGAGTAAATCTGGGGCATGAGTTGAACGCTTTCGGGTGTAGACTTTGAACAACCATTGATGTTCTACCCACCGAATGACATCGCGGTCGGGTGAGGCAATACACGTAGATATGAGGGATGTCAGAAGCAGTCTAGGGCTTAGACTCGCACCGGTATCTAATGACATGTACCCAAGAACTAGGTAGGGGCCCCGGCGCCGCCTACCCCCACTGGCCGAGGTTCTACCACCCAGGACTGTAACTACTGGCGAATTCTCTCCTAATTTCAGCGACATGCCTCCAACCTTCAGCCGATGTGACTGTACTTATAGCTTTCTGTCGAGGCTCGAGTTGACTCGGTTATCTGAGCAACTGAAATGAAGACCGCAATCTTAGCAGCAGCGGCAGCAACCTTCAACATCCTGTGCAATGTCAATGCTCAAGTGAGTCAGCCTTGGGGACAATGTGGGGGCAAGACCTGGTATGTATATGGATTGTACATCGCTGTAGTATTTACCCAGACTCCCCACTAGGACTGGGCCAACAATCTGTCCAGCCGACCAAGTTTGCACGTACATGAATGAATGTGAATCTTTTCAGTACTAAACTCATAGATCATATCATAATGTCTCTCCACAGATTTCTCCCTATGTCGTCCAATATCCACTATTGACCCGCTCCCAACGCCATCACCGCCCGCAATCACGACGCCACCCCGGGAGTGGTAAGGGGATACCATTGTCATGACCACTCCTGGAACAATTCCCTTGCTTGCGCATCATCAAATTCCGCCTTCCATAATGTGTATCTACGAGGTTTTGACGTCCCATCAGGAGGCACGCGCATTCTTGTTACGGCGCATCTACTACAGTACACTTTTTCGTAATGCATAACGTGGTCATGCATATTTTTAGTAATGCATTGGTTTTTGGGCGAAACTATATACAAGGTGGATTCCATAAAATTCTATTCACCCGCAAGGTATCCAATAAAAATACACTCATGCTCACTTGGAGCTCTACCTCTCTCCCACCCCCCACAAATGCATTGCACTAGGAAGCCCGTAAAAAGCCACGTCCGCATTCTCGCAAGCCAAAAGCCATAAAGCAGGAAGATGGACCTAGGACTTCAGCAATAGCGATGGCGACAATGAATGGGCGAGAAAGTCTTACCTTATTTGACTGGATGACTGTCCGAACATGTCTCAGATGGATGTCGTCAACCATTTCAAGTCGAAGGTTGATGGTGCATTGGTTTTCGACCAAGGGGAGCCCCCAACAATTGAAGATCTGGTCAACCCGCATGGGAAGAAGAAATTGGCGATTCACCGTATAGGTTTGATGCAACCGATATTCCTGATGGGGATATTATCGCGGGAGTCCAGCATCAAATGGCCGTCGAGGCCGGGGAAATCGAAATTAATATTTAGCACCGTTGCGGTGTCGCGGTTTTGGCTGAGGTCACGCGGGTCACGTATGTGTGACACATTTCCTCTCGCATAAATCCTATAATGCATTGGCAAAAGGCCGCTACCAACGCTATGCATTATGAGAAAGTGTACTGTATATCTGTGCTACACACATAACCTATTGAAGTCTACTTTTACGCTCCCCATTGTCAAATATCAGTGAACGATGAATCACCGACTCTGTTGAATCTCTAGCTCTCACTGCCCAGGTCTCACGGAAATATTAACCCTTTGGACACGGCTTCGAAAGCGACATCCCCTCCGAATCTTCCCGATTCATTGCTGGGGGCAAACAATGGGATGCGGAGGTTAGGCTCAGCTACATCAGGCGCTGATTTGCGTATGTTTGTTCCCGACGCCGAGTTCCGAGTTCCGACGGTGCCTGAGATCATCGATCCAACCGCATACATGCTATCCAGGCGACCTTTTATTTGAAACTCGACTTACATCTGGCGGGATGACACCACGTTCCACTTCGCCTTCTCTATGTCATTTTCAACTCTATCAACTTACAAAAGCCAAATGCCACAACCTGATAGTCGTTGGACGTGCTGTCAACTGAATTTCTGCGTATAGGCTTGTCTCGTTGACTGTTGGAGTCTTGTGGTCGCCTCAGGTCCGCTGTTCAATATCCATTGGGCGAGTGCGCTAGAATCCATACCGTGGCATTGACTCCCCCCGGGAGCAATCTACAATGTCAAGCGCGCCGAACGTCGACTCGAGAATCTGGAGTGTGGATTGGACGTCGCCACGCCGTGGGTACGAATTTTCAAGGGGCAATTATTTCACCATATCATGATCGGGTCATATGATTACACTTGAATCCGAATCAGCCAAACTGAGTCTGGGACTCAACTCGTATCAGTATCGGATTGTCCACCCGAGCACGTAGGGGCACCCTTCCCCCACCAGCCGAGATTCTACCACCCAGGACTGCCGGCGAATGTCTCAATTTTCGCGACATGCTCCCAACATTCAACCGGGGCGAATGTACTTATAGCCTCCATCGACATCGAAGTTATCTGAGCCGTTAAAATGAAGCACGCAATTTTAGCAGCAGCGTCGACTTTCCTTCTGTATAACGTCAATGCTCAAGCCCCGGCTTGGGGACAA